TTTGACTTAGTTAACTTGAGAATCATGCTAAGATGATTAAAGATGAATTGTAGAAAATTTCATAAGCTTTCCATAATGTCTTCTTGCAAGTCATTTGGATTTGTGTAACTCAGTTATAGCTAAATCTTGTAGCTGCTGTTTGCATGTCCAGAAATTGGCAGATTCAATTATAGTGCTTGCTTGTATATTGTTAAGTGTGACGTATGCCTTGAATGATGACTGAGTTAGAGCACTTGAGATCTGGGGAAACTTGTGTCATGATTGGTGTTGTCGTATTTCTTTGCCATCTTAGCATGATAGATTGTGTGATGTTTAAGTTAAGCATCGCAAAGTACTTAAGTGTGTTAGTGTAAACTATGCTTGTCTTGCTTGCTATTTTGTGATGTGTCTCATGGTACTATTCTTCATATTTATGCACTTGCATATTGCATCTCATCTAGGTATGCGCTAGATGAACCACGTGAAGGACGTGATGTTGGAGCCAAACCGAAGACGGTGTTTGATAGATCTGTCCCGAAGATGAAAGGACTAAGCGAAAAGCTAGAACACGAGGCGTCACCGAGATGGTGCAAGCTAACCGAATCGACTTGTGTCGGATCCCGGCAAGCCCTTGAGCATTATAAGTCTCCTAATTTATAAAAGCAATTCTTTCTATATATGAGTTATATATTGTTGCATTAAGTTGTAGGAGTTGATTGAAACCGTTGATGCATTTATTACTATCCTTGCCTACCTTATTACCTTTTTACCTGTTAGGTCGAGGATCGAATAACCGCTTAGCCTTGCTTAGACCGGTAGCGATCGGTGATATCCGATCACCTACATTATAGGTGGTTACCGGAAGAATTTAGCTATGGAAAGAATGATATCCTGAAGTAACCATGTGTGATGGATAATTGGAGACCGGACGCAAAAGTTGGAGGCAACAGACATGGGGTTACGGGTGCTTTTAGTTTCGTCTGTGTCGATTAAGGACCGACCGTTGTTGGGCCTCGAGTCATGTTGAACGCATGCCTTACATTTAGCTGGCGGATAAAGTACCTTCCGACCGCTGGGCCGGGAGATTTTTTTCGGCCGAGTAGATTGCCCATGACGCCTTGCTTGTGGGAGCGTGTGTGGTAGGACACGGGGCGGGATGATAAGACCAAAGTGCGGTCGGTCGGCCCCGGGTACATGTGGTTCTGGCAAACTCGAGATACCGGAAAGTTGACTCGGTGATCAATATCTCACTTTAGCGGGTGAGTGAGGTTTGTGTAAGGAATAAATCATCACCGGTTAGGAATCGATTCGAATCGCCATCGCTCTGGATAGTGAGCACTTGACTCGAAATTCTTGCATCGTAGTAATTATTATGGAACAATGATGGTTATCTGGATGGTATGGGATATGCTAAATCTAAATTGGTAATCTGGATGTTATTGGTTAATCAAGTGATTGCTATAGTACAGGTGCTTACCTAGATGGATAGGTCATAATAAAGATGATGCAAAGTATTTAAAATGGTTTCTTCATGATAGCTTATGCTTTTCGCAAAACAAGTCAACTAGCCCACTAAAGAAAGCCTTGCATGATCCTTGGTGTCATTTGTTTTGGTTTCCGACGGTAAGTCTGGCTGAGTACATTCGAGTACTCGGGGTTTATCCCACCTTGTTGCGGTGAAGTTCTCGACACATTGATGATGGTGGCTAACACCCGGTGGGCTCGGTGATTCTATATTGACTTCTCATCTATATGCTTTTGTCGGATGATGTCACTATGCTAGCAATATATTTGGAACTTATATTAATGTAATCATTTGAAAACTATGTTGTTTTCACTAAGCGGTTTTGAAACCCCAAACTTGTACTACTAATTGTTAACTCATTTGTAATATTATTTCCGCTGCAACCCGATGTATGTGATGTGTATTTGCTTAATCACGCGATCTTGGTTGTGATGTTGATTTACCGAGGTCTTTCGGGACACTCGGCGGACTACCGGGTTTATATGAGTGAAAGTATGGGTGTGTCAACGTGTTAGCGGGGACAACCGTACTTGATCTTGTATAAATTGGGCGGTTCTGTCACAACCTCCCATGCTCCGGAGTAAGCTACCACAGCAACACGTGCCAGGCGTCGCCGCGCTCTACACTGAGCCACCACAACAGCACGCGCGCTTTGTGTGGGGCCAGTGTAGCCACACGCGTGCTGAAGCTCGCTCCCGGCCACCATTCCCCAGTCTCGCTCCGACCTTCAAGTCGTTGTCGTTGCCCAATGCTGCTCAGTGTGCCACCGCCCACCTCGCTCCAATGTGCCCTCATCTTGATTTGAGACCCGACTCCAAACCCCCTCTCTTTTCTATCGGCCGTCATTGTCTACAAATCTAGAGTTCTGTCATCGATTCAGCCATGCATCACAACTTGATTTGTGCTCCCTCAGCTCCCATGGCGTCCTCGCGAGGATGCGCCCATGAAGACTAAAGAGGGAGAGAGGTGAGACTTGAGAGAGATAGAGGGCACATTTTGTTCTCTTGCTTACATAGCTCACCTCACCTGGCAAGATTAGCCGTGCCAGGACAGGAGAGCTAACATGGCTTGTGTTGGTATTTATTAACGCACATAGATAAATCCGCAAGGGCACGGATATCGCTGTAGCTTTCACCTGAAAGTATCCCAAGTATCGTATCCACAGGAAAACGTGCGAGACTAACTACGGTCTAACTTAACTAAGGGTAGCAACAAGGTTAGGATAAACAGGAGCGTAGAGAGGATAACTAAGGTTCTCTAGTTCTGACTTCAGTAAGCTATGTCTTCTACTATTCAACTGGGGACATCACTAAGGAAAAGACACCAGCAGAGATGCTTTCTTTCGTAACCGGGTTCTACTTGGCCTATAAACGGAAGGTGGACTACAAAGGATTCAACGAGGCTATAAGAGTCACCCTCGCGATCTACCACCGATTCGGAATGTAGGGTGCAACCACGATTAATCTAAGTCTAAGCACTACGCTTACACTTACGATTAATACTTTACTCCCCCTAGAAAGAGAATAAAGCACTCAAAAGAGTCGCGATCGTGATGAACAATATAAAAAAGATGCTTACTTAAATCAGAAGTTGCTTACCAGAGAAGTCTCAGAAGCAAGCTCAAATAGAACTTGGATCCGCCAGGGTACAAGCCGTAGAGACAGCACCGACAGATCGACACTTCCTACAAGCTCTTCCCTCACACTCTATCTCACTATTATTTATAAGACTAGATTATATGGAGGACTAATCTTCTCTTGATTGCTGGCTTGATCATGAAGATATGAATTAAGGTTTTAGGGATGGCTCTAGGGAGGGGGATAGGGGCTGCTATATATAGGGAGTAGCGTCAATTCTGGACCCTCGGATCAAACCGACTTAAACGGATGGCGTAGATTTGATCTTTAAGGAGGTTGGAAACCGACATACGAAGCGGGGGCTGACTGGTGGGCCCCATAGGCTCTGGCCGGCCGGCCAACTACCGACAGCAATTGACCCAATCTTCGGCGGACAGTCTTCTAGTGTCTTCTAGAATCTTCTTGAGTTGTTTTCGTCGAGGATAAATGTGATTTACTTTGACGAATAGGTCCACCTTGACGGTTTTCTGATTAAATCCTCCTGTAGACATGGATTTACTAAAACTTGTGGAATTTATTAGTTTAAACTCCTAGACCTATGTTTGGTGATGGAATTAAGTATATATGCAGGTTATATTAACGGTTTATTATTGATCTTAACGACCGTTAACAACTTGCCCAAGCAAGCAAAAGAAAACCTTGTTTTCACGAAGAGGCAAGCAGGCAGCTTGTAATAAGAGATCCAACTATAACAATTGTTTTAGTTTCTCACCCGACAAGGCGAGGCAAGAACAAGCGAGACCTCCAAACACACCAGAAGGGAGGGGAAATGGACACAAGTGGGATTCGTCAACGACGACCTCGTAATCAATTTGAGTATAGCGTGGGATTAAGAGTTCATTATAGTCAAGCCTGGATAATTACGAGTATTATGTGTGTATATATATAAGGTGCATTTTATATACTTCCGGGAATAGTTACTCCCATAATCAATAAATCACGTTGCGTATATATACATACTCATTTATCAGTTTGAGTATGTTGACATACTAATATTAAGATACTCCAGATCTTTACTATGTGAATTTTTTTTCAAAAGAGCACATATTTTTTAATATATTATATAATACTATGATAGTAGCATATAAAATAAGTATAACCATATACTCTAAGTATACATATATACTTGTCATACATAGTACCCTAGATGCTCTAGTATGATGATATACTCTATCTACGTACATTTCGTCGGGCCATATACGCCCTAAATTTAGAGATATACACATGAGAGTAACTACTCCCTGGTAGTAGAAAATAATTTTCATATATATATATATATATATATATATATATATATATATATATATATATATATATATATATATATATATATATATATATATAAAAGGAAGGGGTAATACCAAACCACGGAGCCGTGGTCCCGGACACTCCGGCCGCCGCACAGCAGGTGCCAGCGCCGGCGCCGCGACAAAACCCTCAGTTTGTTGGTCAGAAACAACCCCTCGCGGCGCCGCGTCATAGCCCATGATGGAGAGCAGGACGCAACCCCGTCTACGCGGCACCACGCCCTCGCGAGCACGCCCAACGTGTCCTCCGCCCGCCTCCTCTCGTCCCTATCCATCCCGCGCGCCGCCGCCTCGGGACGCGCAGTTCATGGCTTCATGCACCCACTGCGCGCCGCGTTTGGCCGCACCACCCCAAGCCAAGCCTTCCAAACCCGGCAACGTACGGTAAGCCTTTCCGTTCCAAGCAGGCGCGCTCCCTCTATATAACGGCGAGACCGGCCGTATCCCACACTGCGACGGTCATCACAAGCTCTCACAAACTCAGCACACACTGACACACCACACCGCAGTACACTAGTGAGAAGCAGAGCGGAACACGCGGCTCGGACTGCGATGGCTCGTCTCCTCGGCGCTTGCTTGCTGCTCGCCGTCCTGCTCGGTGCCTTGGCGGCGGCGTCCGCGCGCGCCGACGACGACCTGGGCAGCGGGGCCGGCGGCATACGGCAACCGAGCAACGAGTACCGCGGGAGGAAGGTGGGGGCCAGGACGGAGGTGCGGGACGTGGAGGGCGACGGCGAGGTGCAGGAGCTCGGCCGGTTCTCCGTCGCCGAGTACAACCGTCAGCTCAGAGGCGGCGGCGGCAGGCTCGAGTTCGGTAGGGTGGTGGCGGCGCAGCGGCAGGTGGTGTCAGGGCTCAAGTACTACCTCCGCGTCGCGGCGGTGGAGGAGGGCGTGGAGAACGCCGGCGAGCGCGTGTTCGACGCCGTCGTCGTCGTCAAGCCCTGGCTCGACTCGTGCACCCTGCTCACGTTCGCGCCGGCGGCCGCCAAGTAAGCGCGGCGCTACCACCGATCTAGTATAGTAGTATGTCTGGTCTGCCTTCTCGGAGACCATGGAGGGTGAATAAAGTTTTGCTTGTGTTTTGCATAAACGACTACTAGAGAGTGAGAAGATGAACTATGCGCTGCGGCGCAGATGTTTTTTTTGGAAGGCTATTGTACAAAGAGAGGAGGGAACGAGAGTGAGAATAAATCGCTGTGCTTTCCTAACTAAGCAGGCTGCTTTGTTCATCAGTGCTTTCGAATCAGAATAAATGTCGACGACTGATCGAGTTTCGATTGAATGAGTGAGGATATTTTTGGTCATTTTTTAACATTGATCCGTAACGACCCGGTGCCATTTGCCTACCCAATGCTAGTTTGGAGCCCAAATACGGGGTGTGTGTAGTTTGTGAGGCGGAGCCATGTCACGGCAAGCAAAGATGAACTTTTGTACTTTCTACTTTTGATCATTTGATGAGTCACAGCCGAGAATGGATACCTCATAGCTACATCATTGGGACGTTTCGTCTTTGTTCACTCCAAAGCTAAGGCTGATCAGTTTATCAAAGGAAAGAACATCCGTGAACAGTGGCAAAAGATAGAGAAAAAGAGAGCACACATTTAGGACGTGTTTGGGTGACGTAGTTTTCACAAACTACGATATCACAAAACTGTGGTTTTATAAACCAAAGAGACACAAAACCATAGTTTAGAAAAAAAAGATGTCATAAGAGGAGCTTCTAAAACTCAAAAAGACTACAATTTTCGACAAAACCATAATTTTAAAAGCTACAGGATTTGTTGGACCAGTAACTTTTAAAAATCAAAGTATTTTATAAAACTATAGTATTCCTCCAATACTTTTAAAATACTTTGCATGGACGTTTTGTTTTTTATCAGCATGTGAGCACCATGCCCGCCGCGCACCTTTTGCGTACACTGTTTTAGACTGTCCATGCAAGTTTGACTACACATATTCCGTAGTACTGCCGGTGCATCTGGTTGGCTCTGCCCGTCGTCCTTGTGTTCCTCTGATCCAGTCGCCCGCCGCTGTTATAGCTTCCTCGCTGAGTCCTAAATCGTGGCCTAACTTCGTAGTCAGCCTCCGCGTAGAACTCGAATACATGCATCTCATATCCTCGGTACATCTGGACATTGTCAGTTGTCACGTCCAATTTAAACGTGTCTTAATTGTGCTCGTGTTACATGGACTGTTGGCAAAGTTCATTACTTATCGAGGGATTAAACTAGACCTAAAACGGCCATCCCAAAACAGAACGGTTATGTAAGAGAATGCAAGAATCCTTCAAGGTTTTAGTTATATTTTGCAAAATTGGCCCTTGTTCATTAAGTAAACGAGCCTTTTTTCTCTCTCTCAACAAAACCGAGGTAAGCTCTGTCATCCGTTTCAGGACCACTGCCTCATATGCGATGCGGACTTCCCTCGGTCATCAGACTCATCGTGAAAGGCTGCCGAGACTTCAATTCTGTAGTCCCTAATTGTCAGCATACCTGCCTCGTCCAACGTCGTCGGGCCGGGATGGCAACAGGTACCCGCGACCCGTTTACCCACGGGTAAAAACCCTATTAGGGTACGGGTTTGGGGGATTTTGCTCCCCACAGGTACATTATTGGGTGATTACCTCACCCATCGGGTGAAGCGGGTATGGGTGCGTTCTTGTATACCCCAAACCCGTTTAAGTATGACACGTAGGTTCATCCAGTCATTAAACAGTATATAGAGAAGAAAACCCGAGCGTTCCCATTAATCCTCCTCAGTAGCGCCGCTACGCGTTCCCCGCTTCCTGCCAATTCACACCACTTCAGAGAGTTTTTAACCCAGCCTCATAGCGAGCCGTCACACTCGACAGGAGGGCCGAGGGCATCCGCGTCTGTTCGCTTCGCATCCCTACGCAGATTCGCTTCCTGCACCGCTACTCGTTCCCCTTCCCCGCTTCCCGCGTGGCGCCTGCGCCGGCCACGCCGTCGCCGCTCCCTGCGAAGTGCGAAGGATGGCTTCACCTCCCGTGGATGCAAGGCGGTCGAGCCCTGAGCGCGCGGAAGAAGGTGGGGTCGCCGGGGATGGGTCGTGCTCAGCGGCGGACGGCAGCTCATCGCCATCTCCAAGGTCACCAGAGACGCCCACTTCATCTCGTGCACGGTGAGCTCTTCGCCTCTTTGAATCCCCTACGTTTCTGTATCTCTTGCGGATTAGTAGTAGTAGACCTCGTCGATTTGTATAAAAGATTGTATGTGACTTATTGAGTTATTGTGCTAACTGTTGGTTAATTTGTATGCAAGTATGCAACATTGCACTAACTGTTTTGAAATTAGTTATTAGTATACCTCGTCGATTGAAGTTGAACTAACCAGTCCTGACGACCTCGCGAAGGGACGCCACCGACGCTGCCGTCGCAAAAGCTAGTGCTACTGCTAAGGCTAAAGCACCGGTCGCCCTTGGCTTGAGCCGCAACCGTACTGTGCAGGTATCACGCGCCATCAAGAAACGGAGCCGTCTCGCCATTGAAGGAGCACCTGCAACTCCTTCCTCCTCTGCGCTTCAGTTGTTGAGTTCCAAGGGGTTTGATTCGATGCACGCTAACCCTTATTTTTACTTCCATTTCCTGTTTACTTGAATTATTGAGCTGCTATGTCTTTTAGCATTTGTACAAAACTTTATGTCTTGAGCTGTTTGTTTGTTTGAATTATTGAGCTGCTATGTCATTGTTTTATCGATTTACGGATGATGCACTGATCTGTCATTGTTTCCTAACAATAACAATGTGCTTACTATTTTTTCCATTCGTGATATGTAGAGTAGCATCACCAAAATCAAGCTTGGGCAGTGGGAGCAGCAGCTTGCCGCAGTCTCTAATTTCTGCAGCTACAAGGCCTAAATCTGTCAATAATTCAGAACCGATCGAGATAGAAGATGATGACCCAGAGGAAGAAGACATGAATGTTGGTTAAAAAAGGAAGCTAATCTCTGCTGTTTGGGAAGAGTTTAAGAGAGTGAGAATGTTGGGCGAGGTGAAGGCAAAATGCATGTACTGTGGCAAGAAACTTTCAGCAAAATCCAACAGTGACACTAAGCATCTTCATGATCATTTAAAGGGCTTCCCATATCGTAAGTCCAAGTTTGCTTCCAAGGACAATAATATGACACAGACTTCTCTTCGGTTTGCTTCCAAGGAGTCAGGACTAGCTGTGCAGAATTACTCATTTGATCCAGATGTAGCTAGAAGAGAGCTTGCTACCATGATAATACTCCATGAGTATCCTTTATCTATGGTTGACCATACCGGCTTTCGAAGGTTTGTCGGTGCACTTCAGCCCTTATTCAAATTGGTGAAGGAACACAGTTAGGTAAGATGGGATATTATGCTTCAAAATCTAACTGTGATGCATTTTGTTTTTGATGCACTGTATAATAATTTTGCGATGCATATTCCAATTTCAGGAAAGACATTATGGATGCATACATGGAAGAGAAGAAGGCGGCCTTGCAGTACATGTCAGTCTCCAAGTCCAGAGTGTCTATAACTACAGACATGTGGACCTCTGAGAATCAAAAAAGAGGTTACATGGCTGTTACTGCCCATTTCATTGATGACTCTTGGACACTTAGGAACATTATCACGAGGTAATTAGAAACCCATTAATATTGCTAATGCATTGTCATTTGTGTTATTAGTTTCTGATTGCATTTTCTCATGTACACAGGTTCATATATGTGCCTGCCCCACACACTGCTGAGGTTATTTCTGAGGTGTTATATGAAGCTTTGGTTGAATGGAACCTTGATGAGAAGATCACGACTGTGACTCTTGACAACTGCAGCACAAATGATGCTCTAATTCCTAAACTTGTGAGGAAGATTGGCAAAGGTAAATTATTGTTAGAGGGTAAACTTTTGCACATGCGTTGTTGTGCCCATATTCTGAACTTGATTGTGAAGGATGGATTAGATGTCATACAACCTGCAATTGCAAAGATCCGTGACAGTGTAGCCTTTTGGACAGCCACACCTAAAAGAGTAGAAAAATTTGAAGAAATTGCTAAGTATGTAAAAGTTTCGACTGATAACAAGTTAGGCCTGGATTGCAAAACTAGATGGAATTCTACATACAAGATGCTTAAAGTTGCTTTACCTTATGAGCCCGCTTTTAACCGAGCAGCACGTGTAGAGAAGTTATATGTTTGTGCCCATAGTAAGGAAGAATGGGATTTTGCTAGAGAGGTGGTAGGGAGGCTCAAGATGTTTGATGACATCACTGCTCTATTTTCTGGAACTAATTATGTGACCGCCAATGTCCAACTCTTTAAGATTTGTGAGGCTAAGACAAAAATTAAGCAATGTTCTGCATGTGGAATTCCTATTACAGAAGAAATGTCAACTAAAATGATTGAAAAAATTGACAAATATTGGAAGGATATTCAAGGACCAATGGGAATAGCCACTGTTCTTGATCCCCGGTTCAAAACTGAGTATCTCCTTGGGTTCTTTGAGTGCTTGTTTGGTCATAATACATCTAAAGACTGTTGGCAGAGAGTTGAAGATGTTAAAAACTCTCTATGTGATTTGATGAAGGAGTACCAATTGGAGGATGATGAAGATAACACTGAATCTTCAGTTCCTTCACTTGTTGCAAGCAGAAGGCCAATGACAGCCAGATTCAGAAATGAGCTTGACAGGTACTTGGATGATGAGTATGTTCCAATAGAGGCTGATAACTTCAACATTCTAGATTGGTGGAAGGTGGTTGGGACGCGGTATCCTACATTGAGTAAGATAGCACGTGACATATTTGCTATTCCAGTCAGCACAGTTGCATCAGAGTCTGCTTTTAGCACCAGTGGTCGGGTTCTTAGTGAGCACCGTAGCCGGCTTACACCGGAGATCTTGGAGGCCCTTATGTGTTCACAAGATTGGATGCGTCGCAAGTATATAGGTATATATTCTGTTCTGTACATTTCATTTCTACATTTTCTAATCTTGATTTCTAACAATTGTTGAAAATTTACTTTCAGATGCTACCAATGTAGACAAGCCTGAGACCTTTTAGAGCTGTCTTCAAGAGATGCAGGAAGGGATGCAGGTGATGTGTAATGTGTTAACCTTTTCATTGTCACATATTCAATTACATTGTATACTAACTATCCCCTCTTATGCAGAAACTTCTACTTTGACACATATTCTACTTTGATGCAGCTGGGGTTGGTTGCCTGCCTGTGGTTGGATGGCTAGGTCTGATTCGCAAATCCTGTGGTTGCCTGCCTGCGATTTCATTCCTTGATGATTTAGTTAGCATTTTGATGAGTCCTATGCCTTCAATATTACTACCTCTTTGAAACAAGTGATGAAACCTGTTGCTGTGGGGGTCTGAGCTTTCTAGTGAGGCCTTGTTGTTCCCTTGTGTTAGAAGCTTTGTTGTTGTTTCCCAGTTAGCTTATTCTGCCATTCTGGTACTTAGATCTTGTGTGGAGGAAATTTCATTGTTTCATGATTTAGTTAGCACTTAGCAACTTGATGGATCTTATCAGTCAATCACCACACCTTTGAAAACTGACGGAACCTGTGGCTCCTTGTAGGTTAAGGTCGCAGGCTTGCAAGTTGCAGCAAGGAAGTGAAGGATGCATCATGAGCAAGGAAGTGAAGGAAGTGAGAAACCCGGTGGGGGGCAGAAAGGATGCATCATGGAAGTTGAAATTTAGTGTCATGAACTCCTAGTTAATTATTGTGTCATGAACTCTTAGTTGATCATTAGCTGCGGTCGAGGACATATTACATGTAAGTTGTAAGTTGTAAGTTGTAACGCTTTACACTTAATTGCATACTTGCATGATCATTCTGAATTTTTGATAATGTTAGCTTTGTGAATTGTGATCTTGTGTTATTGTTAAATGGGGATGGGTCACCCGATGGGTACCCGTTACCCACGCGGGTGACGGGTCTGGGTAGATTTGAGACCCGTCACGTGTGACGGGTACGGGTGACGGGGTGTTTGAACCCTGGTGGGGGCGGGTGTGTTCTTCTACCCCCCACCGGGTTTCTCACCCGTTGCCATCCCTAGTAGGCACCTGCATCGACGCGAGTCGAGCAAGCGAACAGACATTCTTACTGTGGATCGAGGACGTGGCACGCAGCCACATGTACCTCCTCCACATTGCAGCTGTCCCTGTGCATCATCAAACGTAGTATATGACGCAGAAACTGCAGTGGGGAAGTTCTCCACTGCCTAATGCGCCGCTGAATAGCTATGCTTACTCTAGTTGGATCAGTGAATGACGCACGCTTGCACACCGAAGGTCAACGAACTGGTTGCACCAGCCTCAAGATGAGTGATAACCTGCAAAAGTGAAGTCTACAAGAAGGATCATTATTGGTAGGGCAGGCGTCACGCAGGCCAAGCATCAGAATGTCCCTAAAAAGGTGCATCAGCGGCCTGATTGACAAGGAAACATCGCGTACTCCAGCTCGGGCATCAATCAATCTGCACATCTCATTCATCATCAGAAGTTAGTACTAGCAAACGGTGAAATCAACACACCAAAAATACCATCACCAGAATGACGCCTTACAGCCAGTCATTTCCATTAGACCTGACTTTCACCTTGATAGGCAGACACGAGGTTTGCAGCGCCTTTTGACGAACTGTCAACTGTTAACTCCAGAGTCCAGAAGACCAGAACACCCAACGCTCCAGGCCAAGCACACTCCAAGCATTGATCGGAACAGTCTTGCTCTCTTTGGCTAACAATAGGATACACTCCGAAGTCCGAACAGTCTCGCTCTCATTGGCTAACAATAGGATACACTCCAGACATTGATTGGAATTCGGAACAGCCTAGCTCTCTTTGGCTAACTGTAGGCTAATGTTCGCTGGGGGCTCGAGAACAGAAATTAGTAGGTTCCCTAGGAGACCAACCATCTGACACATCAGTTTTGCATAAAATCCCATCATCAGGTTAGTTCTGTTCCCCAAGATTTTAATATGGACCTGTTTGTCAGTTCAAGAACTAGGACTGAATATAATAGGCTTCTATTACCTCTTAAGTAGGGTCTGGTCCTCTTAGCTGTGGTTGAGGCCTCAAATGAAACTGCCTCCCATATGACCAACCCCAATATACTCACCTCGTATGATATTTACATGGTCTGCTAACTTTGTTTATCCATCAAAGGGAAACTGGGTGTCGTCTTCTACCACTTTAAAATGCTGAGGACGGCTACCAGAGCAATAAAGATGCCACATTCTCAAATATGCCCTTTCCAGATTCCTTACCTGCATTTTTTTTAAACCAAAGTGAAATTACTAACTCTGAATGTAACGGTGCTGAGCGGAAACAAGGTTGAAATTTTACCCATCGAGATGTATCAAACAAAGGACAGGTCATCCGTACAGCCTTGAGCCTGTTTGTAAGAGCTTGAAGTTTTGATGGATTTGTGGCTAAAAATACAGCCCTTTCTTCATATTCTTTTAGGCTGAATAACAGCAAACCCAGTTAACAACTAAAAATTCAAAGATGAGAAAAAATGTACGGTTTTCTTAGATGTGAAGTCTAACCTATTGACTATCATCTCTTCCCCAACTCCAGTAGCTAGACAGAGTGAACCTGCAACCCTTGTTGCCATTTTCTGCAGAGGAAGAGTAATCCTTCTTATTACAAAGATACGCAGCTCTCTGCGTGATTGATAAAAGAAAGTTGAAATTAAGCACAACTGCATGGTAACAAAGAAAATAAATTTGATATAGATTGGTTAATAATGTCATGGATAGATGAGATTTTGGTTCCCAACTTACATCTCTGTATGATCCTTGTGCTTTCAACACATCACCAAGGTTGCAATAGGCATCAACCTAAATTTGTAATGTGATCAATAAAAACCAGAAGGTCTGGTTAATTTTGGAGATTTGATTCACTAGCATCCAATTAACAAAAGTAACTGTCAATTACCAAACGAGGATTCAGTGCAAGCGCCTGATGACAACACGTGCTTGCCTTGATGAGATTTCCTTTTCGAGTATAAGCATTCGCTAAGTTTGAGAATGCATCAGCGAACGTGGGCCGGAGCTGCAAAGGATAATGTAAAGTTAGTCTGAAATCATTCAAAAATGAAATGAAAAAACACGTAGAAGTGCGCTTCCCTATGAAGCCCATCACTGCCACCTTCAATTCACACACATCTTGCCCCCTGGTTTGTCATCAGATAGTACACTCACCTGAATTGCATGTTCATAGCACTGGATGGCACGATCTATATCACCTTTCTCCTGCAACAGACAATAACAAAAAAACAATGTACTGAACCATGCAAAAAAAAAAAACCGGCACATTACTACCATAATAACTTTCCCAAGGAAATGACCTCACCCTCCATGCATTCGCCATGTTGTTGAAGGACTCCGGAAAATTGGGCTGGATTGCAATAGCCTCCTCGTTCTTCGCGATGCACATGTCAAACTCCCGGAGCTAAATATTTTTTTTATATAAGAGAAAAGTCATCAATACAAGTATACAACGCACCGAACACACAGAGAACAAGGTGAGTCTGAATTTCTCTGAAAAAACCTGGAAATAAACGGCGCCGAGCAGCAGCAGGTTCTCCAAGCGCCGGGGGTTCTCCCTGTAAATGGCATTGCTCTGTTCAAGTGCCGCTCTGAAATCCCCTGCGTTGTAACTCTGTTGCGCGATGTCGAGCCGCGTGCGTTCGTCAACTGAACCCAATCAAAAAAAAACCCCAACGAATGATCATTTCACACCAGGAAATTAATTCCGACGGAACGGAAGGGTCTAGGAGCGGTCCGAACCTTTGAGCTGGTTCAGTATCAGGGCATCGATCGCCGCACCGAGCTGCTGCGGCCGCGGGTAGGGAGAAAGGGGCGCGTAGGGCGCGCGCTGTTCCTCCCCAGCTGCCACGGCGCCACCGCCGCGGCTGCAAATGGAGAGCATCGCCGCGCTCCGATAGGGGACCGCAGCTTCTGGAAGAGCCGCCAAACCCTAACTCCCGTCGTCGAGCCTCCGCGTACGCGCCCGCCGTACGGGACGAACGAGACTGGAGAGTATGACTGGAATCCATAATTATCTTCATTTAACTTCGCAAAAAAAAATATAATTTGATATGATTAATATATCTTAGAAAATCATATCTTTTTTTCGGAATTAAATGAAAATAATTTTTCTATGAAAATTATAGATCTTGACGAGATCTACAACTTTCTAATTTTGAGTTTTTTCATGTGAAGTCGTTAAGATGCTAAAAAAATTAATAACATATTTAGACTTAAGAGTATTTTTCACTTTTCACACCTGCAGTTTGACGACGTTAAAGGCTAAGCCGACGGCAGTGGGCATTACGATCTTTGATTTTTTTTTAATGGCATGCAGGGAGTTCCCCCGAGACGGCGTCGCGCTCGTGGGGGGAATTTGGGGAACGCGTGGGGTATTAATTTGGTATCAGCATATCGCCGCTGTCCACTGTACCGGAAATCAGGTCGGCGGGCCGCGGGAGCTCTCAACTGATCTGATAGCGGAGCTGCAGTTGGCGCGGTGGCCGGAGGGGCCGAGGTTTCAGGCCGTCAATTGAACTTCGGGGTTCTGGGTGTTTTTGGACGGAGGGGATGTAGTTCCATCTTACGAGCTGGGCTACTTGATGTTACGACTGGACCGGCTTTTGTGACGAGTCCGGCAACAGATGCTGAAGATGGGTGTGAGCTGCTCGCTGAGGACGGACTGAAGACGCAGGAGATGAATGGGCCGCAGCTACGACGGTCCAGCCGGCCCAGAGTTGCTAACCGGCGCGTCATGGGCGCCGAATGGGCCAAGGCATGAAGCAAAGCGTTATACATACCGAGAGTTAGGAGAAGGAGGGTACCGAAGATTATTGTACAAGCTATTGCTTCGGTCTGCAACTTCCTCTGACCCCGTCCTCCTGCTCTGCTGCCGTCCTCAGAGCCTCGAATCCAAAACCTCATCGCCTGCTCGCTGCCCTGTGCGGAGATCGTCGCCGGTGTTCCGCTGGAGCCCCACGAAATCATCCACGACCACTTCACCCGGTTCTGCAAGCAGCTGGGCGATATGGACTCCAACACCAAGCTCATCCTCGACGAACTCAGATCCGTGCAGGCGAATCTCACCGCCCGCATGGATTTGATGGAGGGCTCCGTCGGCAAGCGCGTCGGCTCCCTGGAGGATGCCACTAAGGCATTCGACACTTGATGGGCGAAGGTGGATGCGACGGTGGACGAGTTGCGTGCGGAGGTGGGCGAGATTCGGAAGACGGAGGAGAAGGTGGAGACGTTGCGGGAAGAGATGACCGCGCTGCGCAAGACCGTGAGCCGCTCCATCCTCGACGCTGCGTCGGCCGTGCCAACCGGGGTGCTGCCGTCGCCTCCAAAGGTGTCCGCGGCGACGATTCCCGCCGGCTGGACCAAATTTAGCCCGTTAGGGCACTGCGAGGAATCAAGCCACCGGGGATTCGAGTATCCAACTCAATCCCCGGTCAAGGGTACGCTCACTCCTACCAATCTTGATCCGAAACCCAAGCTACTTCGTTCTTACTCTGGGTCAGCGCTCATAGCCAGTGTGTCTAGTGGATTGGGTGGGGGAGATGGCCTCTCGCGTCGTCCTTGGCATGGGGAAGGGGTTCCTGAGGGCAATTGGTTTAGGGAGGGATCTCACGAACACATACCCAAAATAAATTTTCCCCCATTTGATGGAGAGAACCCAAAATTGTGGCTAGGACGCTGTTTGGATTATTTCAACATGTACACGGTACCACACCATCGCTGGGTTAAGGTCGCCACCATGCACATGACTGCAGCCGCGGCTCGCTGGTTTCAATCGGTGGAAGATCAAGTTCGTCAGGGAACCTGGGAATCATTTTGTCAGGATGTCATGGAGCGATTTGGTAAGGATCAGCATGCTTTTCTGATCCGCCAGCTCTTCCACATATACCAGGCTGGGTCCGTGCAGGAATATATTGATAAGTACACCGGGCTGGTTGAGCAATTGATAGCCTATGGTCGCAATACTGATCCTCTGTACTATGCCATGCGCTTTGTCGATGGCCTTCGCGCTGATATTCGCGCTGCTGTGCATTTGCAACGTCCTACTACTCTGGATGCTGCCTGCATGCTCGCCTTGTTGCAGGAAAAATTGGTGGAGCCAGGACGACAGCGGGATGTGCGGTGGCCGGAGCCGTTCACTTTTGCCAAGGCAGCGCCACGGGGACCCTTGCCTCTGCCCCCGCCACCTCTTCAGACTGAGCGCCAGGTCAAGCCGGCCGTGCCAGGAGCTGAGCCGCAGGACAAGCGTGGATGAGGCATTGAATCCAAGCTGAACACCCTGCGCGACTACCGCCGAGCTAGAGGTCTCTGCATCCATTGTGGCGACAAATGGGTTCGCGGCCACAAGTGTTCAGAGACTATCCAACTTCATGTGCTGCAAGAGTTCTGGGACATCTGCCATTCAGAGGGCTACTCGGATTCTACACCGGTTCAGGATGAGGAAGAACCCCATTGTGCAGCTATCTCCATGGCAGCATCAGGCGGTAATCGGCTCGCGCGCGCTATTCAGTTTGTGGGCACTGTCCAGGGTCATCCGGCTCGGATTTTGGTGGACTCAGGTAGCACTCACACCTTTGTCAGTCAGGCTCTGGCCTCTCAGCTATCTGGGGTAACTATTTTCAGCCCTGCTCTCTAAGTCACCATAGCTGATGGTTCTCAAGTGGCTTGTTGCTCTCAAATTGCTCAGTTGTCTTGGTCTGTTCAGCATTGTGATTTTGTCTCCGCAGCCAAGCTGTTGCCTCTGTCATCTTATGAGTTGATTGTAGGCATGGACTGGTTGGCTTCTCGCAGCCCGATGCAGGTAGATTGGCACAACAAGTGGATGCTCATTCCCTATGGTCAAGGCCACAGTTGTTTGCAAGGTGAGCTGATGAGCCTGCCCACCGGTTCGGTCATTCAGGTTACCACTATTTTGTCGGAGGATGCTGTAGCTCGTCAGGAGCCTGTTCCACCAGACATTGCAGCACTCTTAACAGAGTTTTAGTCTGTCTTTGCTCCTCCGACTGGCTATCCACCGGCACGCCATTGCGACCATGCCATTCCGTTACTTCCTGGTGCCGGTCCATTCTCAGTAAGGCCCTATCTCTATTCCCCTTGCTTAAGGATGAAATTGAGCGTCAGGTGGCTGAAATGCTGCAAGCTGGACTGATCCAACCCAGTTCTAGCCCATTCTCTTCATCGGTTTTGTTGGTCAAGAAGAAAGATGGTACATATCGCTTTTGTGTGGACTTCCGACAACTCAATGCCATCACAGTCAAGTCTAAGTATCCAGTCCTAGTCATTGAAGAGCTACTCGATGAACTCACACATGCATCTTGGTTTTCTTGCCTCGATCTAACAGTGGGTTACCACCAAATTCGTTTGCAGCGTGGAGAGGAATTCAAGACTGCCTTTCAAACTCACTCCGGTCATTACGAGTTTCGTGTCATGGCGTTTGGGCTCACAGGAGCGCCAACCACCTTTCTCAAGGCTATGAACACTACTCTCCACCCCCTGTTGCGTAAATGTGTACTCATTTTCTTCGACGACATTCTCATTTTCAGTCGTTCCTATGAAGAGCATGTTGAGCATTTGCGGTTGGTCTTCCAGTTGCTGCAGCAAGATCAGTGGCAGGTGAAGATGTCCAAATGTCACTTTGCACAACGGCAGCTTCGTTATTTGGGGCACGTCATCTCAGAGAAGGGCGTGGCCACTGATCCTGAAAAAGTTCATGCGGTTCTGAAATGGCCAGTTCCACGGTCTGTTAAGGAACTGCGTAGCTTCTTGGGCCTGGCAGGATACTACAGGCGATTTGTTAAGCACTTCGGCATCATCTCCAAACCCTTGACGGATCTTCGCAAAGGTGTTGTTTATGTTTGGACATCCAGCCAGGATCAGGCCTTCTCAGCTTTGAAGCATGCCTTGACAACTGCTCTGGTGTTGGCCTTGCCCGATTTCAGTCGACCCTTTGCTATAGAGACTGATGCTAGTGGCACGGGGATTGGTGCCGTACTTATGCAAGGGGGTCATCCCTTGGCATTCCTCAGTAAAACTTTGGGACCTCGTTTGCAAGGATTGTCTACATATGAGAAGGAATATATGGCTATTTTGTTGGCCCTGGAGCAATGGCGCAGCTACTTGCAGCATGCCGAGTTTCAGATCATCACCGATCACCGCAGCCTCGTACAACTGACGGATCAACGGCTTCACATACCATGGCAGCAAAAGGTCTTCACCAAACTCATTGGCCTGCGGTATCGGATTGTCTACCGCAAGGGCGCGGACAATGGCGCAGCTGATGCTCTCTCCCGTTATCCTTCTGCGCAGCTGGCCGCCCTGTCAGATTGTCAGGCTCAATGGCTGGAGGCAGTAGTTGAGTCGTACTCTCACGACGATCGTGCCCAGCACTTGATTGCACAGTTGGCTGTGGCTCCAGATTCAGTGACCGGATTTACTCTTTGAGATGGTTTGCTACGCTACAAGTCCAGAATTTGGGTGGGTGCTGATCCGGAGTTGCATACTCGATTGATTACAGCAGTGCACTCTACAGCTGTGGGAGGACACTCAGGCATGTCAGTCACCTATCGCCGACTGAAGCAACTCTTTGCCTGGCACGGCATGAAGTCAGTGGTTCAGTCTTTCGTCGCTGCTTGTGTTGTCTATCAGCAAGCTAAACCTGATCGCTCCAGACTGCCTGGCTTGCTGCAACCGTTGCCGGTTCCTGACAGTACCTGGTCGGTGATATCCATGGATTTTATTGAAGGCTTGCCATCTTCGCACGGTTATAACTGCATACTAGTGGTGGTGGACCTCTTTTCCAAGTATGGTCATTTCCTACCCCTCAAGCATCCTTTTACTACTCCGATCAGTGGCTCAGTCTTTTCTGTCGCAAGTCTATAAGTTACA